CGCCGCCGCCGCCGCCGCCGCCCCAGCAGCAGCAGGGCGCGCAGCAGTACAACGGTGAGCGGGGCATCTCCATCCCGGACCACGGCTACTGCCAGCCCATCTCCATCCCACTGTGCACGGACATCGCCTACAACCAGACCATCATGCCCAACCTGCTGGGCCACACGAACCAGGAGGACGCGGGCCTCGAGGTGCACCAGTTCTACCCACTGGTGAAGGTGCAGTGCTCCGCCGAGCTCAAGTTCTTCCTGTGCTCCATGTACGCGCCGGTGTGCACGGTGCTGGAGCAGGCGCTGCCGCCCTGCCGCTCCCTGTGCGAGCGCGCGCGCCAGGGCTGCGAGGCGCTCATGAACAAGTTCGGCTTCCTCGGCAGACCGCGGCAAGTTCTCGTGCCCGCGTGCCCTCAAGGTGCCTTCCTACCTCAACTACCACTTTCTGGGGGAGAAGGACTGCGGCGCGCCCTGTGAGCCCACAAAGGTGTACGGGCTCATGTACTTCGGGCCAGAGGAGCTGCGCTTCTCACGCACCTGGATCGGCATCTGGTCGGTGCTGTGCTGCGCGTCCACGCTCTTCACGGTGCTCACTTACCTGGTGGACATGCGGCGCTTCAGCTACCCGGAGCGGCCCATCATCTTCCTGTCTGGATGCTACACGGCGGTGGCCGTGGCCTACATCGCCGGCTTCCTGCTGGAGGACCGGGTGGTGTGCAACGACAAGTTCTCCGAGGACGGGGCGCGCACCGTGGCGCAGGGCACCAAGAAAGAGGGCTGCACCATCCTCTTCATGATGCTGTACTTCTTCAGCATGGCCAGCTCCATCTGGTGGGTGATCCTGTCCCTCACCTGGTTCCTGGCGGCCGGCATGAAGTGGGGCCACGAGGCCATCGAGGCCAACTCGCAGTACTTCCACCTGGCCGCCTGGGCCGTGCCCGCCATCAAGACCATCACCATCCTGGCGCTGGGCCAGGTGGACGGCGACGTGCTGAGTGGAGTGTGCTTTGTGGGGCTCAACAACGTGGACGCCCTGCGGGGCTTCGTGCTGGCGCCGCTCTTCGTGTACCTGTTCATCGGCACGTCCTTCCTGCTGGCCGGCTTCGTGTCGCTCTTCCGCATCCGCACCATCATGAAGCACGACGGCACCAAGACCGAGAAGCTGGAGAAGCTCATGGTGCGCATCGGCGTGTTCAGCGTGCTCTACACGGTGCCGGCCACCATCGTCATCGCCTGCTACTTCTACGAGCAGGCCTTCCGGGACCAGTGGGAGCGCAGCTGGGTGGCCCAGAGCTGCAAGAGCTACGCCATCCCCTGCCCGCACCTGCAGGGAGGCGGGGGCGCCCCGCCGCACCCGCCCATGAGCCCCGACTTCACAGTCTTCATGATCAAGTACCTTATGACGCTGATCGTGGGCATCACGTCGGGCTTCTGGATCTGGTCCGGCAAGACGCTCAACTCCTGGAGGAAGTTCTACACGAGGCTCACCAACAGCAAGCAGGGCGAGACCACCGTCTGAGACCCCAAACCCGGCCCCCTGAAGCCAGACCCACTCGGAGTTCTCAAGGACCCGGCAGCCCTGGGCTCCCTTTCCAGACCCTCACTTTCCAAGGCTCTTTCCACCAGTGCAGCCCTGAGCTTCTGTCCTTCCCTGGCAAACGGACCGGACCGGAGCTCTCCGCTGCCAGGGGAGTGCGGACCGGACCGCGGCTCGCACTCTCACCTGGTTCCAGGACTGTACGCTTTTATGATTGTAAATAGCCTGTGTAAGATTTTTGTAAGTATATTTGTATTTAAAGACTACCGATCATGCGTTTTTCTTTTTCCTTTCTCTCTATCGTTCTTTTTTGGAGATTTTAATTATTTAGGGCGATTTAATCATTTGAGACTTTTCTCTCTTGCCCTTCTCAGAGGACTGCAGAGAAGTTAAAACCACAGCACCGCACAACATCCCTGCACTTCCTTGTGCTCCCTGCCTGCCAGGGTGCAGGGCCCCAAGGCCACACAGTGGGGTGCAGCTGGGGTCTCTTCCCACCTCCCCCTTCTGCCTTTCCCTTTCTTCCTGGCTTGGGATGGGGACTCTTGAGGTACAGAACTCCACATTCCAGATCCGGAGGTGGGCTCCTTCCTTGTTTAGGGACAGATTCGATTAGGGGCAAAGGCCTGTCCCTTTGACTTCCAGAAGCTGAATTTTTGAGCCAAAGCCCCCGCCCCATACACCCACATAGACACACACTTCAAGGGTCCCGGGATGTGGACGTTGGCAATTCCCACCCGTCCTCCACTCTCCTCCAGGGCCCAGACTCTCCCCCCTTCCACCTAAGTTGGCTAGAGGCTAAGTGGACTGAGCCATTCCAAACTTTTTTAAGTCTAATTTTTGATGGCTGAGCTCATTTCATTCTCCACTGTCTAAAACCTGGTATGGGTTTGGCCAGCGTCATGGAAAGATGTGGTTACTGCATGGGGAAGAGGCCTGAAGCGTTGTGTGGGATGGGACAGAAGAAAAGGGGTTGTAAAATGTTAATTCTAATTGCACACTGATGCCTGGCAACCTGCCTTGAAGAGTGAGGGCAGCCCAGTGTAGATTTTACCCTTCTGTAAATTGGAAACTAAAGGTCACCTGGAGAGCTTTGGAAAGGAGTTGATTTTTGCTTTCCTTAGCAGGTCAGCAGAACATAAACAGGATATGAAAACTTGAAGATTTCAGTGTGATAGAGCCATCCTCAAAATGAAGTGCTATTTTCTTATTTTTAATCAAATAATAATTAGACATATCAGAAACTTTTAAAATGTAAAAGTTGTACACTTTCAACATATTGTTATTATTATTATTATTATTATTATTATTATTAATTATTTTTCTCATTCAGCAACACATTCTGAGGGAGGAGTGATCCCCACCACGAATCAACCTAGTAGGCTTCCTGGGGGGAGGGGCAGAGGAGGTAAAATAATCAATGGGATTTGGTCCTGAAAGGAGCAAGCAGAACGCGGGCCTGCATACTAAAGGGAAGACCTGCAGTCCACGACATGCAATCTTGTGTGCCCCTTTTCAGACCTAGGAAAATGTGTCAAATATAAATCTTTGAAGCCATTTAAAAATATTCACTTCTCTGTGAAAGAAGAACGGTCCTCCTGAGTATATTGTTTTATACTTTAAGAGTTTATCAAAATGCCAGTACTTAGGATCTAAATTTATCTGTATCTGTCATGCCCTACAGTGACATTGGTCTTTGAACTTCGTATGCATTTATTCTGTTCGCTATCACAAAATCATCTATATTTATAGAGGAATAGAAGTTTATATATATAAAATGCCATATTTTTAATTTCGCAAATAAAAAAATCAAAAGTTTTGTACAAAATTATATGGTTTTTGTGTCTGAAAATAATAGAGCTTGAACTGTCTTTACATTTTGCAGTGGCTCATAGCCAATCCCACAATATAAAAATTTAAGAATTTCAGTGGAAAGATCTCTCCTTAAACGTCCGGTCCAGGTTTTCTGAAGAATGACATTACTTGCGTTGCTGTGATGGACATTTGTGGAGTCGCAAGAAGAGATCTGTTTTTGTGACAGTAAAAAACAGAAAGCTACAAATTATTTCTTTATTTAAAGAAGATTATTGAGGAATAGCTAATTTTAATATTAAAGATTTTTCTTTCAAGGAATAAATTTACATGACTTTTTATAATACGGAGGTTTATTTTTAAATCATCAATTTGTCATGATTTTTATAAGGTATTATTGTCTTATCTCTTTCATAATCTTGGATATTCTCAAACCATAAATAGGTGACCAATAAATGGTAACTGTTTGCAAGCATTTTAAAGCAGCAGCTGGGTTTGTTTGCTTCTGAAGACTCCATTTTTATATTGTCCAAGGCACGTTTTTCAGAGGAATTTTCTAGTTGGTCTACTCAGAATTTGTGGATGCATGTGCATATATCTAAATGTACATACTCACCTAAGTATACACACATTTAAAAATAGGTGCATAATTTACTGACCCATTTCATAGTATGGGAATAGTATCAGAAATGGGAAATTCCAAATGGAAAACTTCAAATACTTTTAAATAAAAAATATCTTTATTACATTTTCCCTTTAAAGTATTTTTTGATAAAAATGACAAGTGGGCTGAAATGAAGATTATTGACATAATTATAGGGTTACTTTTGTGGCTATAAGGCAGTTGTCTTGTAAGTCATCAACATCACTTATTTTAAAATGAAAAATTTTTAATTGAAAATATAGCATTCAATTTTCAGTAGTAAGACAACTGTTTTTTTGTACATTAACAGTAGATACCTGAAAAGGTTTTATTGCACATATACCCCCCCACACGCACCCACACACACACACAATTCTTTGGCCAAATTAAAACGGCTTCTTACCAGGTATTTAGATAATTAACTATTGGTCTCTATCCAGGGAAACATTGTCAAAGCAGCCTTTTTGTGAGAGTCCTTAAAATGATTTAACTATAAATACGGTGAGGAAAGGTTTCAAATGCTGGATTTAAGTAGTTTCAGAAGACATTTTAAAGTTACCAGAAGGCTTTGTTTTTAGAAAATAATTTATTTTAAATCACATGACATATAGGAAACAAATGTATTTTTTATTTCTTTCAGTACTGATGGCTAAATAAGATTTGCCTGGAAAACCATAGAGTTACCAGGGATACTGTGCCATGAGCATGCAGTTTCCATGACAAGACCTATTGGGGGGTGGTTTGATTTGCCTTAATTTTGAGGGTTTGGTTTTTTTTGTTGTTGTTTTTAACAACAATCAATAGGCGTTACTTTCTCCCCTCACAGTGTACTTGGTTTGGCTTTTGGAGTAAATGTATATGTGTATGTAGTGTGAAAGCCTTTTGAATGCTCTCAAAAATTTTTTTCCACTTCAACTTTGTGCAGACAAAGTCATGCTTTTCTGCCAGAGCTATCAGTGTCAAACATATGCAAAAGCTCTGGACTGGAGTCTTCAGTTTAATCCCGCAGTAGTCATTTGTCAGTCTGAGTGTACAGTCCTGGTCCTTTTGTCTTCATTGTGAGTGCTGAAGCCTTCTGTTGTAGTTAATTATTCCTAGAGTCCAGCATTTAATTAGGAAAAGAGACCACAGTGAAGAGTTGATGGCTAATTAAGAAAAAGAAAATGGAACTACATCACAAATCATTTCAGGACTTGGGTGGCTTTGAATCATTTTCCCTGAATTATGTTTCAATCTCAGTACATTTTTTAATGCACCTTATGTAGTGTGGGTGTGCTTGTGTTCAACTTCAGCTATTTTGGCTTTTATTGCTTTGTAATCCATCTGTTAGCTATAGGCCATATTTTATGTAATTCACATGCAATTAATTGAAACCAGTAATATGACATTGAATACATTTATCTTTATAATATTCTGTGTAATTTGTATCTGAGAAATTAAAGGCCAAATATGGTCATTACACATGTGTAGAAGCTGATACTAGTGACAGTGTCATCAAATGCTTTATAAAATACACTAATCTCAAAGTCTTGTAAGATTAATCTGTAGGAGCCAAAATAAGATAGGGACTATACATGAGAATTCTCCAGTTATGTGATTAAAAAGGAATACTACCTTAAAGTCAAGGCTTTTATTTTGAAGGCTTTAGATCTAAAATGAGGTTGTACAAGGGAAGTGCAAAAATATAGTTTATTTTGCTAATTTCAAGATGTATATCTATATCTTGAATTCCAGACAGGTGGCAATACATTATAAAAGTTGAAAAACAGCATTTGACCTTCAATCATGACTTGGAATTAAAATTTGTGGGCTTAAGTATTTTTTATTCAATTCATTCCTTTTAATAATGGATATGTTAAACTATAACAATTATAGGGACAAAACAGATTGCTTAGATCTGGCAATTAAAAGTTTATGGACTGATTTTACTTACTTTTATCAGGATCTATAGTGACAAATGTCTTTGTCGTTAGTATATCAAGTCACTGCTTAACACTCTCTTTGAGGATTTCTGCTTATAGGCTGTTTGGCACCCTAATAGCAGGTAAAATAAAAGGATTTCTAATAGAGATCTTTCTCGTGTAATGTTATGATAAAGTATAACATAAAAGACATGCTGTGATGAACATATAATAAATATCCTGTGGTTCCTAATGAGTCAAGAAGATTTTGTAAGTTGCTTGAAATAAGATGCCATTTTCCAGTAGAGATTTTCTTTAAATATATCCTTTTAAGATGGCAATGGTCTAAAGAGGTATGGGTTTGAATGATAAAAACTCAAATAGCACTGGATTTTCTTCAGGTATCATCGGTACACGAGTTGAGTGAAGTATTTACATAACAATTGTAAGAGCGAGGTATTGCAATGGTATGGACTCATACATTTTACACATATGGATTTTGTAAAGGCGATGTTGAGATTTGATAATAATTTTTTAAGTTTGAAAATTTGTAATATGTGTATTTTATATGAAGATCTCAAGAAACTTCATTCACAGCCTAAACTTTCTTTCTTTTTTTTTTTTTTTTTCCGGTACCAGGGATTGAACTCAGGTCCTTGCTCTTGCAAGGCAGGCCACCGAACCGCTGAGCTAAAATCCCCGGCCCCAGTATAA